GGAGTGACCAGGAACAATGGTCACAAGCTGGCGGAGGGAAGGTTTAAGTTGGACATCAGGAGGCGCTACTTCACGGTCAGGGCGGCTAGGGTCTGGAACCAGCTTCCAAGTGAGGTGGTGCAGGCTCCCACCCTGGGGGTTTTTAAGAGGAGGTTGGATGACCACCTTACTGGGGTCATTTGACCCCAGTGCTCTTCCTGCCATGGCAGGGGGTCGGACTAGATGATCTGCTCAGGTCCCTTCCGACCCTAGAAACTATGAAACTATGATGGTGTCCTTTTTAATATGAAGGTGAATCTTCTGTAATGTGTTTGGAGTGCAGGATAGTAGGGGGCTTAGAGTCCACAGAGTCGAAAGAAAAGTTTGAATGCAAATTCTTTATCACATTTTCATTTTTCAATTGTTAGGTTGTCTTGGAGAGAGTACTTTCAGTGCACGGGGCACTTCTTCAGGGGTTTCTAACTTGAGGGGGTAGAAAATAGCAAGTGAAGATTAGGAGTGCTTTAGCTTTGGTCCAGGGAAAATAAGAGGCAAGGATTTCTGCGGGTCATCAGCTGTGACTGGACCAGCTGTACAGTTGGGAGAGATTAGATGCTTCTAACTGGTGCTTACTAGTCCTGCCAACATATTCCTAATTAATTGAAAAAGTGTCTTTAAAAAAAATTACCGTATTGTCTCTTGCTCTCGCTGGTTACGATTTTAGCAGTGTGAACAGCTCGCAAACTACTTTGCAAGCTAGCATTCCAAGCTTTCAGAAAGTAGAAATATTGGTTTCTGGCTCTAGCGCTTATCAGCAAAACAGCTACCGAAACCACATGGGGATTTGAGAATGCGGAGCGTTGAAAGGAGAACAAGATGGCAGGTGCTGAGAGGCAGTTCTTGCGGTCTGTTGCGGCTGGAAACGAATGATCTGTATGCCCGCTGGAAAGTCAGAAGTAGCTTTGGTTTCATGCACTGTTTAACTAAAGGTGTCACTAGTTCCTCTGATGTTTTGTTTTGTTTTCTTGCAACGCTGGTCTGCACTGAATGATGCAGCAGTTCAAATATAGCGGGGCAATGCGGTTTTTAAATTCTTGGACAACGAAGAGACTTCCCAGCACTGTAAAATATATTTGAAGCCAGGTTTGGAATTATGATGTGTTACTTCCCGCTTCCTTTCCTCCCACCTCCTCTTCCCCTCCATCCACTTCCCAGAAAGAAAAGAGTAGATCAGTGATTGTCGTGAGTGTAGTGCCTTGTACTGAAATGATGGGTGTCTTTTTTTGAGGAGGAAATTTGTGCTAAATTAAATGCATTGGTGACCATGATTAGGGTTCAGGAGGCTTCAGGAAAAGTGTATGCCACAAATGAAAAAGAGTATCAAGTGGTCCAATAAAACCCCTGTGTGGTTTAATAGCAGAGGTAAGGAGGCCATCCAAGGCAAAAAGGCACCCTTCAAAGAATGGAAGGTGTGCCCAAATGGGGATGCTCATACACACTGGTGGGTCAGATATAAAAAGGGAAATAAGGCAGGGCAAAAAAGCATAGGGCAAAAGAAGCTAGATATTAAAGATAACGTTGCTGAAGTTAATAAACTTTTAACAACTGTATCGGAAGCAGGAAGCCAGTGAGAGAACTGGTGATGGCCATGGTGCAAAAGGTGCACTG